TAAATGTAATGCACTTGTTATAAGAGCAAAGTAATTTTTCTTGCGTTTATCTATAGAAAAATTTGATCATCATACAACATCTCTATAATAAATGGATTTGCCTCAATTTTAGCGTGACATGTACACCGACCGCTAACCGTAAAATGATAGATTAGGCTTACTTTTGTTGTTTGCATAGCGATAGCGATAGGTTTAGATTTTATTAATCAATGCGGGATGATCAACACTATTTTGTTGATCGTGTATAATCCTGACCAAAATTAAGAGATTTTTTAATGATATCGATATCGATATATTTGTTGATCTTTATAATTCCAGGCAAAATCAATCAAATACTAGATTTCTGATGACGTAATATCGATATACAGTACTTTGAACGGACTGATATACGTATATAATCAGCGAACTAAAGAAAGATAATTTAGAAAAAGTGATGATATGCTACCCATGGCTTGCCCACTGCCAATTCAATATTTTAAAAAAGTGCGATAAGACCGTGCCCAATATCGTCTTCACGAGAAAAAAGAGCAGTGGTTTTGGCAATTTCTTGGTCAATGATGGCCAAAGTAATGTTATTTTGGAAATTGGCAAAAAGTTACTGTCACATGGTTCCGGTCATCCTTAAAGTTATGCACCAATGTTTATTTTGATTTAAGGGGTACATATATAAAATCATGTTCATTTGTAATCTCGTAATACACGTATCGGTGTTAAATAATGAGTAACAAAAATCATAACGATAATAACTATGGCACGATCCAGTATCCTAAAAAAAATACAATAATTACAGATGAAGCGGATGATAATGATTCACTCAATATCATTGCGGAACAACTACCACTCACTAAAACACCAGAATCTCCACCTCCACCAATTCACTACACTTACGAAAGATTGATCTTAGAATGGACATTAAGCAAGTAGATTATCTATTTACTGTTATTATTATTATATAAAATTTAATTTCTGACATCGAAATAATCATATGTAAAAAAGGATGTTTCGGCAGACTAATCTATTATGTTTGTCGAGTAATTTGGGAAATCTTTTTTTATTCGATTCAAATGCTTGGCTGGCTGCTATGTTTATATTTGATATTGTACTTTTTCTTTGAAGTAATTCTATCGGTAAAAAATTATTACTATCAATATTCTTTTCAAGATGGATTGAACTAATTTATATTTACCACTTTAGATTCCAATGATAATCGGTAGATGTAGATGCAATAGATTAGCACTGCCGAAAGGTGAATCGGCAGAAGTTTCATTTTCATATGATCCGTACAAATTTACAGATTTGAAGATTAATTCTTTAGGGAAATTATATGTAAATTGGGGTTTGTGATACTATATTTAGCGTTTTTAACGGGGGCTAATCTTTTTATATTTATATACATAATTAAGAAACGAGAGGTTCACATATTTCAGAATAATGACAACAACTCAACAAATATAAACCTAGATGTTCGAATAAATTCACTTAACCCCGCCGGTGTAGATATTAGATTCGAGGAAGAAGGATTTACGAAAACATTAACTGCGGTAAAGAACCATAATTTAAATTTCTTTCAATAAAAAATATTAAATAGAAATGTCATTTTTTTTCGTTACAGGTTCAAGATTATTATCCATTATTTCCAGATTGGGGTTTTATCGGATCTCCTAGTTGCGGCACAGTTCTCATAAACATTCACCTGCCGAAAAAGTTTTCAAATCCATCGAGGATATTGACGAATTTTGACCTTGACGGGTACGATGTTTTCGTGTTTTCTAATAAATTTCCAATAGAACATGAGACATTTAAAATAAATGCGAATGATGGGTTCATCTTTCTCGATGTGAGTAGTGAAATCTATATAAATCATATAAGAGAAACCTTTCCTTATTAAATTATTTATTTATTCGGAAATATACGTTTTAGGGGATTCATCTAAAGAACTTTTCTATTTGGGGAAATATTGGAGGCCCGAATATCAAAGCGATACGTGTCAATAGACTACTTGTTAAAAGATTCGAAAATAAACTTCAAGTTTGGATCTCGTCGATTCCATTAGAGTTTGAACGTGCTTTATTCCCTTTTAAAAAAATTAATTTGCAGTTAGTAAGTGTCACCTCAAAATATTGCTATAGATAGTGATGAACGGTTCAGATTCAATCACGATTAACTAGCAAATATTCAATTGCTTGCTCTATAATACAAAAAAAAAAAGAAAGATACCTTTTCGGGAAAATATGACTTCCAAGCTGACGGATACGTATATGTAATCGGCGGCGGTAGCAACAGAACAAAAATAATTGACCGATATGACCGGCAAATTGGTTTTGTATATGGTGGCGGGGAATCTCAGTTGATAGTCACAGCAGAAGGTGGTGATTTGGAAGTAAAATTTTGAGCTTAAAATAGAGTAATTTATGTTTTGCTTAACAAACACTCATCTATAAGCCGCATTTTAATATTATCATTATTTATACGTACATGTAAATTGCATTCACAAAATTGAGTTTAATTCGATCTAAATATTGCTGCTCAACAAATTCCGTGTTTCACAAAAATTTATCTATTACATGTATTTTGGATGTTGCTGTCTCATTTTGTAACGCGTTTTTTTTACAGAGACAGAATACTCCAGTTTTCTTATTACTTTTGGGTAAAACAAAATTCTGGGATCTGAAAATCGATGTTTTGAATTTTTGAGTTGAATACGAACGTTTTAACGCCAAGTTTTTTGTCTGGAGTGATCGACCAATTGCTTAACATGCCGATACTGAAATACTTTTATGGTTAGAAATTTTGCGTATATATACGTATATATATCGGTATTGTTAACGGATCCAAGAAATGGACTTGACTAAAGATCGATACTATTGAAAAAAATTTTCTTTTAATTTTAGACTAAATTTAAAAAATTTATTTACTGCTACATATTTTCTATACAAATAAGAATGGCGCATTGACCAGAATACCCAATCTTAAAAAAATTTTTTTTATGAATTATAAAATTCAAATGTTCGAAACAAAAATTCAAATGTTCAAAAAGATTTCTAATGTTCGAAAAATAAAACCAAATCCAATACTTGATCAAAGAAGAACAATAGGACCAGATCCAATAACAGAATCCTTATAAATAACTTGAAAAGATTGTTGTTCCCCGGTCAAACTAACACTTTTATCATCATCCTCATACGTAGACAGACTCGACAACAAGACATCGTGCAGCGTTATAAACCATGGATCAGTTGCTCCTCCTTCACGCGGAACAACTTTTAATTTCTCAGTAAGATTATAATTTGCTGGAGTAATAATAAATGAATATGCATCCGGATCAGGATCGTCGAATCCAGTTTCCCACGCGCCATACAATATCATTTTTGGTGAGATGCCTTGCGTTTGTGAGAGTACAAAGAATCCGCTTACTGGTTTTGAAACATCGTTTTTCATTTCACACCAGGCGATTTGTTGTTCAAAGCCGTAATTGTATGGTGCTGAAAAGGCAATGTTTATGTACAAAGTGAATATTATAATTAAACGTTCCATTTGATTTTTCATTTTTATGTTCTTAAAAAATGCTAGCTTTTTTAAGTTGTAATAATAAATTTTTAGTAAGTTGATGATGATAATAATAATAACGATAATAATAATAATAACGATAATAATAACGATAATATTTTAATTAGAATGAGACCAATAAGTCTTGAAGACGCACTAGCCGCTCTCTCTCTCTCATTATATACTCGTTAAAATCATGCAGCCTAGAAAAGAATTTTTAATGCGAGTACGAAGTATGTGTCTCGATCATTTTGTTCATAGTTTACCGCCAAAGCACCACCCTTTTTTGCCAAGACACCACCCTTTTTTTAAATAATGAAACAATATTTTTATTTTTATCGAAGCTATTGTTGAATACAGTAAGAATAACAATGTGTAATAACTACTGGAAAAAAATATTTTCTTTATTTAATGTTTATTTTTGGAACAATCTCTCTTATCATCCAAAAGATGAAGAATAACGTTAAATTCATCATCAAACATAACGATTATCCAAATATTTTATTTGTTCTTTCTCTTAATGTTAACCAATAGAGGATAACAAGACACGTAGCAAGAACAATTATTTACATGTATATCGAAACAAAGGTTGTCTTACACTGACCCTGATACATGCACATATGTGCGCGCATATATTACATACCGATACGTACTAATACGTTACATATGTTTCAGTATGTGCATATACAATTACAGTATATAAATATAAATATGGGAATTCTTTTGACGGGAAAATACGCAAATGGACTATAACGATAATTAACGTGAACAAATCCAATAACATGCGGTTGATTATCTATTTTTGAATCTTTGATTCTTTATTTTCTTCGAGTCCTTTTAGTTTCCTTCTATTAATCTGTTTATATAGATTAATTGGATACACGAATGTACAGTATCGGTATTTACTATAGCGATAGGGAGCATAGCATTAATTTGGGAAACACATGTGACTTTTTTATAAGAAAGAAAGTTTGTTATACGTAAAGAACTTTATTATATACAGTTGAAAGCAGCCACCACAGCCATTGTCGATATCAAAATAAACTATCCTGCCTAATCAGGAATATCACCGCTGCCGTTACAATCAATAAATTGCCTTTTTCCTTTGCGAAACTGGGATTGATCAACGTCAAAAACAAAAAAAAATTTTAAATAAATGATCGTAAACAAAAAACGAAAAGATGGAAACATCCAACAATAATAACTATAATGATCAAACTGATCCACTAATATCATCGTTGAAAAATGATCAAGATAATGCTTTCACATATACTTGGACTATTCCCGGATTTCAGGATTTAGTCCATAGAGTGCCGACTGGTTATTTTCTGTATAGTGACTTATTCTGGTCACCGGTTCATCGTGCTGATATTGATAATTCATTGATGTCATCATCATTATCGTCATCATCATCAATAATGCGACGAAATTCTGGTCATTCATGGCGTTTGAGAATGTATCCGCGTGGCTACGACGAAAGATATAAATCATACTTGTCAGTTTATTTGGAAGGGTTTCAAACGTGCGAGGAAAAGGAGAAAAGTCTCACCAGACATAAAGAATTTGAATTGGAAGCATTTCGGTCTCAAAGTGACCCTGTGAATGGTCCATCAATTCCAACTCATCTCGCAAGCCTTCAACGTTCTTCACAAAGTTTTAATTTCAATAATGTTATAAATTGTGGACAACATCAATTCTGTTCGCTCGAAGAAGTTTTCCCAAATGATCGTAATGTTAACACGACTCTGATCATTCGAGTACGTATCTTCGACAAACCACAATCAGGTTCTTCTTCAACGAACAGTGACTCAAATCATCCGTCATCCTCCGTGTCGTCTGGGATCGTTCTTCCCGCGGGATTCAATGATTTCTTGACAGACAAACTATTGGCTGACGTAGAATTCGTATTTGACTGTGGATCTCGACTTAAGGCACATCGGATAATACTCGCCGCGCAATCATCCTACTTCAAAGCGCTTTTACTCGGTAGGTGGCGTGAATCAAAAATGGATTCAATTCCTATCAAAGACACGGATCACAATTCTTTTCGATCTGTCCTACAATTTTTCTACACCGGAAAACTCGAGCAAACATCTGATGTCGACTTACTGACTGGTGTTTATATTTTGGCTGATAAGTTCGATCTAAAGGAACTTGTGCAGATGGCTGCCAGTCAAATTGTTAAATTCGTAAACGATGAGAATTGGGATGAGATTTTGCTGCTGGGCTGGCGCACTAATAATCATGGAATGAGAAGAGCAGGAATTGAGTATGCAGCTGGAAATTGGTCTAAAGTGAAAAATAGTGACAATACAAAGCGAGTTTTGAGTGCACAGGATGTAAATATTGTTGAGGAGTTGATGGTCTGCGTCTTTTTCCATTCATAGTTAGATAGATATCGATATGCATATTTTACGTGTTAGCGTAAATTTCAAATACTAAATACATGTAAATAGTAACGGTAACAACAACCGATGAAATATTCAATTCCCTGTCGACGCAGCATAAATTCCGATCGCTACTATTATTTAAAAGTGCAGATTAAAGGATTCTTGTTTCGCTCCGTAATGTAAAAAGCACATAAAGAAAAAGATATTATCAAATGGCACAATTACATACATGTATTCATAGCGATAGAAAAAGGTTCTTCTACTCGAGACCCGAAACAATCCCAAATACAATCTTAGATAAAGACCATAAACGATAACAAGAAAATTCGCAGAATTTCTTGTTATCATTTTTCATCTTTATTTGCTTCATCTTTTACGATAACAGTATGAGCTCGTTTAATATGTATAGATATGAACACCTCACACGCGTCAGACGAAAAATCAGCGGAACTTCGTCATAACGATGTGAAATTAACATTACGTAGTTTATAATCTATCATTAATAGCATAACATGCATGCAAATTGATCGAAACTATTGAGCGTCGGGCTTCTCGCTTGCCTCTTAATTTTTATATATAACGTAATTAATAAAAGATTATTCTATAAACTCTAAATCTACTAATCTATTAATGCCACATTATAAGACCATAAATACAATATTATACAAAGCTAGAATCACTAATAAATATGAAATAAATTATACAATAATAAATATGAAATAAATTATACAATAATAAATATGAAATAAATTATACAATATAAATATGAAGTAAAAGATACAAATGTTTCTATTTCAAAAGAATCTTTATCTTTCTGAACAGTCACATTTCAGTGTTCACTTGATTAGATGATTTCACGTAACCTTTTTGATGATGGTCAAGGTTTTGAGTTGTGGTTATTACATCGTGAACTGATACTTGAATGCTAAATGCTTGCTCGTTGTTTTTGTTTTTATCCATATTACGCACAAATTGACCAGGAATTTTAGGGGTTGTTGGAGTACGTGGTGGCGATTTTAACTTCCAAATAGGATCGTTATCAAAATTAAGGAAAGATTTACACTTTTTGGTATTCGAGTTCGATGATTTTATCTGTATATTTTTTCGAGTTTTGAATAATTTCGGGATCTTGACACCAAATTGAGTCATATTAAAGACAGTGAATGCCGTGCAAAATACATCAACATAATCATATGTAGGTACTATTTCGAACGTATTGATTAATCGATATATAATCATTGCTGATAAGAGCGACAAATCCACCGAGAATGAAATGGCTTGAAGACGACGGTAATACAAAATTTTCCCGTCTTCTTTTGAGCCACCGGACACTCGTAGAGTTTTGAATAGTAAAACGAAAAATATTGTTTCTGACACGATATAATAAATCCGTGGAACTGGTGCATATCCATCTCGAATTTTTTTCAAAATCGAAAGGTCATGCGAGCCCATATTGTAGTCACCTCTTTCGATGTAAATTATGTCGCCGACTAATACTGAAAATATTTGTGCAATTCGAAGGAAAATAAAAGCGTAATGTGCCCACGGATATTTTTGATAGGGTCGAAAAACAGTACGACAACGCTAATTATTCGATAATAAGAAAACAACGATAAGTAATTATTCGATAGTAAGAAAAACAATAACCAAATATTTGATAACTAACTTCATAGGCCAAATAAAGAATAATTGGCTTCGATAAAAGATACAAAAAATCATTTATAGTTTTCGTTAGTAATTGAAGACGAGCGTTGTCCGAATGAATTATGATAAATATTTGCACAAGTGTATTTATTTCCACTAATATTAATAGTGTATTGATGATTGGGAATAGTAAGTATTTTGAAGCGGCATTTCGAAGAATAAGCATTCTAATCAGAGAGAAGGCTGATAAAATTAAAGCTCCGGTTACAAGTCCAATGCCCACCCATTGTTCAGTGTGATTTAGATTACTCATTTTCTATTTTAGGAAGATAAAATGTAAAAAGAATGGATAATGAATGAGGTGAAAGAGAAGAAAGGAAGGCTATAATGGTAGAGGTGTTAAGAACGAATTTCATTGTAGATTTGGGAAATAAATAAAATTATTTTTTGGATTTTGTAATTTATCGCAGTAGCGATAAATCGCTACCCTACATGTCACGTGTTTACTACCACGTGACATG